GGAATGGCCATTTCTGGCTTATTAGCCGTCATCAGCCAGTCATACCCAACCCCAAGTGTGGATCACTTGAGATTCGAACCCGGGATCTTTGGTCATGGAGTTGAACGCTCTACCATTGAGCCACGGGCCCGTTGTCCTGTCGGTTGTGATCGGGAATATTAATTGTGATAGTGGGCGCTCACCGATCAGGTTACGGAACATGCTCGTTCCGTTGTGCCTTGGGGCTCATACTTAAACCCTCGCAGGCAGTCGCACAGCGACTAGTGATATATGTTGAGAAGGTGATACCGACAAAGACAAGGGAGACCGGAATGGCCATTTCTGGCTTATTAGCCGTCGTCAGCCAGCCATACCCAAGCCCGAAGTGTGGAACACCCGAGCCTCGAACTCGCGACCTGTTGGTTTAGAAGTCAACGCCTCTACTCACCGGGCCACGAGCCCGTTGCCCTGTCGGTTTTCGATCGGGAATATACAATGTTAGGGGGCGCTCACCGATCGTTCATACGGAACTCACTCGTTCCGTTGTGCCTTATGGACTCTCTCTCGAGCCCAACCAGCAGCCGCACAGCGGCGCATGATATATAGGCAGAATGATATTACCGACAAAGACAAGGGAGACTGGAATGGCCATTTCTGGCTTATTAGCCGTCATCAGCCAGTCATACCCAACCCCAAGTGTGGATCACTTGAGATTCGAACCCGGGATCTTTGGTCATGGAGTTGAACGCTCTACCATTGAGCCACGGGCCCGTTGTCCTGTCGGTTGTGATCGGGAATATTAATTGTGATAGTGGGCGCTCACCGATCAGGTTACGGAACATGCTCGTTCCGTTGTGCCTTGGGGCTCATACTTAAACCCTCGCAGGCAGTCGCACAGCGACTAGTGATATATCTTGAGAAGGGGATACCGACAAGTGATCCACACTTGGGGTTGGGTATGACTGGCTGATGACGGCTAATAAGCCAGAAATGGCCATTCCGGTCTCCCTTGTCTTTGTCGGTATCACCTTCTCAAAATATATATATATATATATATATCTATTTATAAGTCAACGACTCTACTCACCGGGCCACGAGCCCCTTGCCCTGTCGGTTTTCGATCGGGAATATACAATGTTGGGGGCGCTCACCGATCGTTCATACGGAACTCACTCGTTCCGTTGTGCCTTATGGACTCTCTCTCGAGCCCAACCAGCAGCCGCACAGCGGCGCATGATATATAGGCAGAATGATATTACCGACAAAGACAAGGGAGACTGGAATGGCCATTTCTGGCTTATTAGCCGTCGTCAGCCAGCCATACCCAAGCCCGAAGTGTGGAACACCCGAGCCTCGAACTCGCGACCTGTTGGTTTAGAAGTCAACGCCTCTACTCACCGGGCCACGAGCCCGTTGCCCTGTCGGTTTTCGATCGGGAATATACAATGTTAGGGGGCGCTCACCGATCGTTCATACGGAACTCACTCGTTCCGTTGTGCCTTATGGACTCTCTCTCGAGCTGTGGAGTGGTTAGTGGGTGCGCAAGGTGATTGATTGGGAGTGTGGCTCGGTGGGGTGGGTGTGTCAAGGCTGCGGCCAATTCCGCTCTCGTGGATGCGCATGTGGCCGAATAGGCCCATGCGATGAGTGAAGGTGCGAAGGCAGTGTGGGCACTGGAGGCGAGTGCGGTGGGTGTAGGTTGGTGCCCCAGGCACTGCTTCATCAGCCTCTGTGCGATGGATTCGCTAGTGACCGACCAGGCCGATGCGAGAGGTGAAGGTGCGGTCACAGTGAGGGCAGGTGTAGACCTGATCCTCATCACTGGGATCGGGAGAGGTGGGAGAGGTGATGTTGGTTGGTGTGTTGGTG